CAAAAGATGACACCCGAGTTGATTCTGCCGAAGTTATTTATTATTTTCTCTCTGTTAATCCTCTCTTGTCTTGGATGTTCTGGTTTTTCTTTCATTTCCCACTCTAGATACGAGAAACCATGTCTTTTACTCTCTCCAGAAGCTAAAATTTCCCATCGTGTCTGTGTATTGAGTTCCGACCGCCACGAAATCAATGGAGACGCCAGACGTAGCAGCGACACTGTAGCGAGGATGGGGGGTTTTCACGGAGACATGGACTGTGTCTCCCTCGTGCATGAAAAAGACTTTCATTAGATGACACGAGAACGATTTTGGCTAATAAATTTTTTGAGTTCCATTTATTTGGTCTTTTCAGTGATTTTTGGGCGTATTAGTAGACTTAATTTTTAGTTCATATTTTCTGTCCAATTACATTACTAAATTTTATTTCGAGTCCTTAATACCTCTACTTGTCAATGTAGTCCAAGAGGCAATATATTCTACTATTAAATCCATAACACTTGTAGGTGATTTTTCCCCCGTCTTGTTAATATGACTTTAATCTGAGATAATTTAGTTCTGATGATTTATGGCAATATTTTTCATGTACAGATGCCTGAATATGTTGAGCTGAGCCTTGTGTTTGAAAGTGTGTCTATATATGCATGTGCGCACTTGAGTGTATTTTGTTACTGTTGTCTTCATTGTAATTAGGGAAACTCGGTCTTCGGCGGTGGAGCAGACTCTCAGGAAACTAGGTGTGGAAAGACTTAGTAAAGATAATGTACAAAAGATGCAGTGGGAAGTTCTGGAGGTAAAGATTGGAGACTGGATTAATTTTATGCGGATTTTGGTAAATTTTGACTTATGTTTCATAAAAAAAAAATTTCATTTGTTTCTTCATTCCCTGACATTATTATCGAATACAAACCAGGTGAAACTTCTATTTGTTGCTGAAAAGAGTGTGTGCAATCAGATTTTTGATCATGAGAGTCTTAGGGATCAGTGTTTTGTAGAAGTTATGGCAAATAATGTAGCCATGCTACTTAGTTTTGGAGAAGCTATTGCCAAGAGCAGGGGATCACCTGAAAAGCTATTTGTCCTCTTAGACATGTATGAGATAATGAGAGAACTTCAGCCAGATGTATGATGCAGTTATCCTTTTAACTAACCCTTTCAGCCTTGCTTATTAAATTAGTACTTCTTTTGCACTAAATTGCATCTTGATATTCTTATTGAGCTTGTCCTTTTATTCTTTTCTTCCTTGGTTTGCTTGAAAGCAATTTTTTCCCTTTACATCTATGAAATATCTGGTGGAAATAAGATGGTAATGTGTTCATCCTTGTGGTCTTTAGTAACTCCTGAATTTTCAGGTGACGTCTATTAACTTTTACACCCAACCTCCCCCGTATTCTGAACAATGGATAAAATATAACAACAGGTGCATTCTTGTGCTTGTGTCTATGTGGAAGAGTGTATTTTGTTATTTGATTTCCATGCTTGTATCAATGATTGTGCTAGATAACTCCAAGTAGTTGGAGGATGAAATGTAGGATATGACTATCATTTTGTCTGTGGTTCGAAGTTATGATCTATGCTGATTGTTTTGATATTTTACAGCTTTCCTCTGCAATTGAATGCCTAGGTTTGAATGGGAACAAGATTGATATGATGTAACTTTTCATATGTATTATCTAGACAAATGACCTAGAATTATGCACAATCAACAGGGATCTCAAGTTCTTCGAAAAATCTTCAAAACACACTTCAAGAAACTAAAACAACGAACCTCTTCTAAAGACAAGAAACCTATAGCATCAACCAAACTTTCAAGATTTTTCTAGGCCTCATGAATTTTGATTATATTTTCCATTGTATCACGCAATTTGAATCTATCTATTCCGGAATCGTCGTTTAATATCCAAAAATTTCCCGTAGATGCTTGCTAGCATCTCGGTCCAAGAAGTCTATGGTCTCTTTTGTGTGTGTCTGTGTTTCAACATTCATTTGAACCTTCTGTATGATACTGAATTCGTTTTGGTTATTCATGTCTAATTTATGTAGGGAACTTATATTTCGAATACAAGTAGGAAAATGGTATCAATATCTAAGAGATATAAATGACGAAGAGGTGTGCATTGATAGTACTAAATTGGATATCAATGTTTTATTTCAAATATCTAATGCACGAAGCATTTTTAATCTTTGATATCGGCATTATTTATTTTAGCACTTAAAGGGCACAATTCTTTGGTCAAAACAAAATCATAAATTTTATGACATCAGACAACATTGCATCAAGAATTTTGCAGATACAAGCTGGGAAGATGAATGTAAGAGCATGACAATGACACCTTTTAATCTGCAATTCACTTGCTGATTGCATAGTTGTTCTACTATCGAAATGGCAGTTTGCTTCCTTGGCAATATCTGAGCTTTTGGTATTTCTTTTTCTTTTGTGACTCTCCCCATTTGTGCACTCAACAACCTATGCTCATTTCCTCTATTCTCAATACATCCATCCATTCTCCTCCATTCTCCTCATTTCTTCTCTCTTCTATTTCTTTTTCCCACAATTTTGTCTATATGCTGTGTAATTTTGCCAAAGTTTTTCGGTACGGTGTTGACCATCCTAAAAGTTTTAACCCTTTATTTTTGTTTTCTTTTGCAGAGTTTTGAAGTTTTTATCATAGATCAATCGAAAGCACTATTGAAACAAGGTTTTTTGGTAAGTAAATATAGATTTCTGCTATGAATCAAAGGTATGGTGGTTAGATTTTATTGTATGGTTCTAGATCTGCAATTTTTTTTTTAAATGAAATTTTATCTAGTTTGTTTGTTTTGATTATTTGGAATCTCAACTTGAAACGTAGAAAATAATTTAGAGAAATATCTCTATTACATTTGTTGAAGTTGAAAATACTTAAGGAAAAATGGAGGAAAGTGTTTATTTTTAAATGAAATTTTATCTGGTTTGTTTGTTTTGATTATTTGGGATCTCAACTTGAAACGTAGAAAATAATTTAGAGAAACCCCTCTCTGTTACATTTGTTGAAATTGAAAATACTTGGGAAAAATTGAGGACAGTGGAATAGCAAATAGATTTCATTTGTTTTTGGTTTCATTTATAGATTTAGAGAAATTGGTTTTTTGGTTTTTGGTTTCTTTTGGTTTAAATGGGATTGATTGGTTTTTGCATGTTATAATGTGTGCAGTTCCATCAGTACCAGGTGGTGGGGAGAGCTCTATCGACGGAAATGGATAAGCACCCCAAGATCTACCAAATGAACTTATGGGCTATGAATGAGGTACCGGTTCGGTAAATCACATCTTTTTCCCTCTCTCTTTTTTTTTTTATTAATATGAAGTCTTATGCCAATATTTATGTTGGGTTTGCTTTCATTTTTCTGGGTTTTCATTTTTCTATTTTGTATTTGTAAAGATTATTTGGGTTTAGAAGTTTGAGCCGTGTTTCACTTGCATAACTTTGAGGTTGAGTTGAATATTGTTGTGTGTTACATATATGGACATATGTTATTTAGTCCCATAGGTTACATGCTTCGTTATTTGCCAACCATATTAGCCTAAATGCTTAATTGGGCCAATCCCCTCTCGTTCATCATATAAAATGAGACAAATATTCTAATATATTACAGTGGGGTTGCTGCTCATGAAAATACCTCCAAGATGGAGAAATTGATTGTTCGCATTCTAAAGCGTGTGAATTAATGGAGTTTTTAATCTGTAGAGGTTGAAATTAAGAAATAATCTGTTCACAAGAACAAAAATTACCTCGTTTTCTTTGTGCCTAATTTTGTTTTAGGAAATAATGTTGTTGAAACTAATCAAGGACTTCACTTTGTTTATCTAAAATCATCAACTTCATCATTTACGTAATCTTCTTCATACCTTACCATCTTTTACTCCTCTTTTTTCCTCCAGTTCACATATGTTCTGTTAACCAATTTTAACTATCATTTTTTTGCAGATTTTAGCAAGTGCAATATCGACTTCAATATGTGTTCCTCCCAAACATGACATGTCGAATACACAATCACAACTCCATAAATTTAATATTATACAAATACTTATTATTGCTTTTCTTGTTCAAAACATGAATACATTTTAAAATTAGCAAGATCATCTTGGTCATCTTTAGCCACAAATTGAAGATTGTTACCTCGCTCAAATTTCAAATAGCATAAATGACTCCATTAAGAACATGTAAAATAATAAGCAAACTCTAATTATCCTATCCTCAACAAATTCAATTTTTGTCTTACAATATTGTTCACCAGTATAATTACAATTGCACATTTAATTCACTCGATAATTTCATTTCATGTGGTGCAGAAAAGCAGTGTGACAAGTAACACTGAAAACTGGAAAAAATGATCAACAATGCATAGAAGGTACTTTCAGTTGAAAATGTTGCTTTAAATATTTTGGTATCTTTTTTATTGTTACCAATGTAAATACTCTGAAGTGACACAGAACGCTACGTGCACAGTGGCTGTCACTAATATATAAAACATGTTTTATTATCAATAAAAAATAGTCTTCTTAAATGCATTTCATTTTAACTATCACTTGCACGTTATTTACTCCTCAATTCTAATTCATTAAAGATGCTTCTCATACCAGAGGCTGAACATACTCACAATAAGCTATAGTACTAACCTGAAATCCCTCTTTTGCATTCTGTTGTTCTTCAATTTATTTATTTTTTAATTTATACATATTTTTTTAACTTTCAGCAGAGTCCACCTGGCCTTCATATAGTAGTTTGGTTTATACAATTGATTAACTGGTTCAATACATATGTCCTTAAACTTGCAACAGAAGCCAGGTATGCCTTTTGTCTTTGTGCAAAATATCTCTCTTTTACATGTATTACGTAGGCTTGACCAAATTATAATAATTTTCTCATCTACTTTCAGGTGGTTCCCTTTTTCTTTTTGATTGGAAAGTGTTGATGTACTTCTGGAAGATGGCCATAATTGGAGAAAGATGGAAAGTTAATGAAGGACGCTCATTATGGGCTCAAGGTATGTGCTGGATGATATTTCTCTGCTTTTTACTTCAGTTTTACTTGTAAAAATCTGAAAAATTACACTAGCTGTTTGTTATGATGTCATTTATTATATTGATGCTTCAAAAACAATGTATCAAGAGTTCAATATTTTTCTTTTTCAAGCTAGAAATACTGATGTATTGCATTGCTACTATGGCCAGGGAGAAGATAATGAAAATTTTGAAGAAAAAATTGACGAAGACAAATCAACGAACTCTTTTAATGTAGAATTGAACAGACATCAATGTGAGGTACAAATCATAAATATGCCTTCTCACGCTCATTTTTGTTTCCTACCTTCTCATGCTTATTTTTTTTTCCTAATTTGCATTCTAACGTACAACCCATTATAATTTGTTTCCTTGAATTTGTTGTACGTTGGTCTTCGTGTTGTTGTACTTTGAGATGTAATTTTGTTGTTGATTACTTGATTTGCAGGTAAGAATGGTTGAAGTTCAGAGCGATTAGGTCATGTGTGTGGAGCACCCTGCACCTGCTTCTTGGTAAAAATTGGTATTTTTTTAATTCTGTTTTTTGTTATTTTTTCTTCATTAGTTCTTTTACATTTATGAAATTTTGGAACTATCATAAAGAGTGCCTCTCTTCAACCAGATTACTCAATGACTAAAATTCTGGAACTTTCATAGGAATGCTATCAAGGAGATAATATAATTGTATTTTTGATAGAGCTTTTTGCCAAGAGATGGTTATAATTCAAATGGAAATAATTTTCAATTTCTTAATCAACTAGGAACTTTCAGACTTGGGATAGGGGATTGGTTGACTGGTATGTCAGTGAACGCAGCTGTGCAATTGGAGTAAAAAATTGTTATGCTTTACTGCATACAAATATTTAGCATTGGATAAATCGATATTTGACAGATTTGAACTGTAGTAAAATTACACACATCCACATGTTCTATGAAGGGATGTCTATCCACAATTGTAGATTGCTGTTGGCTTTTAGCATTTTTTATTTCTTCGAATTTTTCTTCTTTTGATTGTTTGATTTTCATGCATTCTGGTCGTGTTTTGAGTAAACGGTTGGTGTTATGCTTTTATGTTGGTCTGTTTTAGTGTTTTGGATTGTAGTATTGTGCTAGGCCTCATAGGATATGGAAAACATCAAATGCTATGTGTTTTTACTCTTTTTTTAAAATTTTCATTATGAAAAAAGATTGCATTTTTATTTAATTATAATTTATGAGTAAACGATGATTGTAAGTGTTATTTATTTTGTTAATGACTTCTGTCTTGGAGTTTACATTAGTCTTTGATTTTGTGACACTTCTGCATCTAATTGTATTCACTCAAGTTTCCATCGTTGAGCTTTAATAACTCTCTGTTTGTTGTACCTTTGGTGGGTAATTCAAGGTTGTTTTGAAATTAGGTCCTTTAAATTGGAAATAGAAGCAACTATCATGTATTTCAATTGTGTGGTATAAGTTGCATCATGAACTTTGTAACAGAAATTTCTAACCTTGATTATTGAAAGTTAAAGATGATTATAAATTGTTTCAGGTGCTCAAAGTATACCCATATCCTGTAACCGTCCCTTTAGCCCAACTTGCTGTTGGGACTGTGCTTGTTATTCTCACGTGGATGACCAATCTTTATAAAAGGCCAAAAATTAGTGGCGCACAGGTAATGTTACAGCAGTGATTCTACGCTTTGTAGTTTTGACAATTATAAGTGGGAAAACTTATCTTGAATTTCCATTGACAGCTTGCATCTATTCTGCCACTGGCAGTGGTGCACACCTTAGGCAACCTTTTCACCAACACGAGTCTTGGAAAATTTGTTGTTTCATTCACTCACACAATAAAAGCCATGGAGCCCTTCTTCTCAGTTGTACTCTCAGCTATGTTCCTGGGAGAGGTGGCTAATTAATTTTTTTTTTAATTCTCCTTCCTTCTATCCATGTAAATATAAGATGATTAAAATATTTGCATATCCCATGAAAGCCGTCCTCAATTTTTCTGGAGGTATAGACTTCAGGCTAGGGTCCTGGTTGAGCATGCGATGGTATTGTGTATTTTGGTTATTGTTTGAGTTGTTCAACTTTTATATTTTGGTGTTTGGAGAGAATAATTGTTTCCTAGGGCTCCTATATCTTGTCTTCTTTAAATCATGTTTGGGAATTGTTTATAAACAGTTTAAAATATAAATAAACTAAAATGAGTAGTACATAAATGGGTAATGTTTGTTAGTCCTTCAAATGTTTTGATAAAAAGTAGTTTGAATTTTAATATAACATATTGTAAACATGAGCCAAACGTAGGCTTAATCACCTTGGAGGTGTTGAATACAATGGTTTTTGAAAAGGGCCTTGAGATGTAAAGAGAATGGTTTTGAGGATATACCCAGAGCTTTCGCTTGAGTATGTCTACAAAAATTTGTCCGAAATATCCAAATCCATGATCATTCACACCGCAATTGGCCAGTCCGAACAAATGTAAGAACTAATGGTGACGTCTGGCGTTTCAGCGTAGAGTGGTCAGTCTACGTTATAGAAAAACAACTTCAAATAGGTGACGCGTGTATATTCGAACTTGTGAACAATGAAACTCCAATGTTCATGATGTACAAAGTTTGTCCTACCAATGGAAGTTGGACACTTACGTAATTGTAGTTTCCCCCCTCTCTGTTTAAAGATCTGATGTAGGTTTTTTTTTTGCTCGAAATTTGGGATTGATTCAACATCCAAACTACTGTATTAAAATTCTCTTTTCCGTCCAAATGGTCATCGTTATTTTTAGTTTCCAAATGGTAGTTGTTGGCAATACCCTTGGATATCAAAAGTTTTTCCAATGTGAACTACTTTCTGCAGTTTAGTGTACATAACATGTATGTTGGTTTTAATCCATCTTTATTTAATTATTCTTTACTTTTTGCCTTCCGTGAGTTTTTTACCAGTTGCTTCTTCTACATGTTTCATCTGGTTACACTAGCAATAGTCAAATTATAACCATTCTACTATATTTGATCCCCATGTATATGTATATATACACACTATAAGAACCAGATAAACTAAAGAAGAAAAAAGAAAAAAGAAAAAAGAAAAGAAATGTGAAAGAAAAAGAAAAAATGAACATGCTTTGCTACAAAATCTCACAATTATCAAAAATACCTTCAAATCACTCAACACTATTAAATATCCAATTAAAATACAGTACGTGCATCGCACGTGCCTAAACTAGTAATTGAGATAAAATGCAATTTTTATACTGAGCAACTAATTCAAGAGAATATATAAATTCGTGGATAGGAATTGATGGGATCTGTAAGTGGCGTTCCAGAACATTAGGATCATCGATCAATAAATTTTTATTTTTTTAAGAATTTGGCTAATGTTAACGTACAAATTTCTCATGAATGGTCAGTTGGATGTTAATCGTAATTTGAAGAACAATGAGCGGTGAACATTCTATCCAAATTTCAAAGTGATCGGACCATGAAAAGCTGAGATATTAATGTTTTGATGGTGTTAGTGTAGGTTTTCCAGATCCCACGAATATCTGCTCTGTCATCTCAAATTTTCTCTCTATTTTGGGTGAGCTATTTTGTGCAAATAACGTAGTATAAAACCAAAGCAACAAAGAGAAATATAAGAGAAAAAAGTAGATAGTCAAACCTTAAGTATGCGTTTTATTAAGAATTAAGGCTCCATATTTAACTGAGTTCAAATTGAGAGTTACAATCAGAGTAGAAATTTTTTTCACCACTATATGGCACGAATTTCAGCAAATGAGACTTTAATGAAAGATTACAAGATCCATATGATTAAGTCCTTGTCTTGGACAAGGACTGATTATTTCGAGCTTTCAGGGTTATCACATCTATCTATCTAGGCTGACTTTTCACAACAAATTAAACAAGAAACTTTGCTACTTTTGAAGATGCAATAGCCACATATGAGGGTCTAAAATATGTGTTGCGTGCCAATACAAACATGATGATAATGACAACATTGGATACCTACTATTATGCATAATAAATCAAGTTACGCACATGAGCTCAACCCAGATGAAACTAGTGCACCTGCCCCGGAACTGAAGCACTCGGCCTCAACTACCTAACCTAGTCGAGTCCACTTTGATTCAACTACAGTTTGACTTATCTACAATTAGTTTATCTCCACATGTTCTGTTGCAATTCAAAATCTGTAACTCAAATGTATTTTTAGATTAGACTTATCGTTAACTGTAAACTTGTTATATATGTTGGAATCAATCATTGGTAATTCAATGAGAATTAATTTCAATCTCAGTTATCTTTTCATTACCTACAATGCAGACATGGATAACATTTCGGTTGCAAAATGAAGTGACTGTTTCAAAACAACGTGGGCTTATCTGCAAAAAACCCCAAAACTTGTGACACAACCTCAGATATTTCATTGAAAATAAACCCTTAATTTTGTTAAACTCAACACAAATGTTTGTTTAAAGGGACTTCTAAATTAACTGCACGATGGCATTGTGATCATTTCTTACCATGTTCTGACTGCATCAGAACATACCGAGAAAGTTGGTTGGTAATTTTTTAACGGAAAGAGGATTAGCAATGAAATTTTCACTAGGCTGGTTTGGACAGAGCTAGTTGTAGTGGTTTGGAGATCTGCAATAGGCTAGAAACAGAATGTTTGGGTTGTATCTTATTCAGCAGTGAGAAGAACATTTATCAAATTAAGAAAAACCTTGGACAATACATTTCAATATTCACAGATGAAATTTTTCACTCGTATGGAGAAAGGGCAACAAGGTGGCAGATTTGTTGACAAATATTGGATACAAAATCAGGACTTGCATGACTTTGCTTCTACACAAGTTTAAAGGAGAAATTAGAATCTTATATCTTGAATATAGAACCAAATTCTAATGAAGAAGCAATCTCTAATAAAGATTCTAAGAAGTTGGTTGTAGTAATGCAAGAGAAGAAATGAATTCATTGCTAAAAAAATGGAACCTGGTTCTTAGTAGAAAAAACAATTGATATTAAAATCATAGATTGCTAATGAGTTTATAAAATAAAAGGAGAGCTAAATCTGGAGATACAAGGCTAGCTTTGGATGTAAAAATTGCATTCTTGTATTGTTCTTTGCATGAAATCATTTTATATGATTCAACCTAAATATTTTGAAATTAGGGTCCGTTTGATTGCAAATGTGGAAAATGAGTGGAAAGAAAATGTTTTACAGGGAATTGATTTGCCTAAAAATTATTTTACTGGAAATTGTGTTTGATTGATATAATTTTTCATGAAAAATATTGAAAATTTGGTGTCCGTTTGGCTTCTTTTTTTATGAAAATTGTCCATT